CTGCAACGGCACTAGCCGTCTCCCGCTCGCTCTGCGTGCACCACGCTGCGCAGCCTCATCGTCGCCCACACGTTGATCTGCTGCTCGTAGTTGGCCGTTGGCCGTTCGGCAACGTCCGTCACCGGCACCCCGACGCTACCCCGACGCCTCGCGCCGCTGGGAGCGTGGGGTCTCCGCCGCGGCCGCCGGTCGCCTGGGGCACGGCGGGCGCCGACCGCGCTCGGTCGCCTCGGGCGCTGCCGCCGGGCGTGTGTCCCGGCCCGCGGCAGCCGCCACCGACCGGGCGGCTCCCACCGCGCGCGCCGCACGACAGCCGAGCCACGCAGCCCGTCAATATTGCTGAAATAGGTGTGTTTACGTTGCTGGTGCCCAAGTATTGACGCGGAGAGTGGCCGCGGGGCCCCATTAACTGCAAGAGATTCGTGGATCCTCCTCGGCTCGTGCCGGCGTCGCTCGCGTATCGGCCTCCTGTACGGGATTATACACCGGAGCACGGGCCTCTGGCCGCTGTACGGGATTATACACCGGCGCACGGGCCTCTGGCTGCGACTGGCGCCGACTGTCGAGAACCATGCCCCCGCGACGGGCTGTGACGGTCGCGGCGGGACTTTGTCGCGGTGTTAGAGAGTGCGTGTGGGTGAGGGCCTGCGGTGGGTTCCCCGAGGCTGGTGCAACTGTCCTGCTGTCGTGCCCAGGCATCATTTTGAAGGATGTAAGGAAAAGCACACAATTTGCCGTCGTATTACTGGACATAAGCTGAAGCATATTCCAAGGCACAGAAGCATTTTAATCATCAGGAAGTGCAAACATGTAATGACGGAGCTATTGCCGTGTGTGCTTCTTTATGTAAGTGAACGTGTTCGTGCATATGCAGACCCTTTTCTGTCAAGGTATGCCAACCGAGCACAGGGAGCTTGCTATCGCAATGCGACTGCATTGCATCACTTGCAAGTTATGAAAATATTTTTTCCGTCATTTTCCCGGTCCGCGAAGTCTCTTACACATGTTTACTTGAGTTTTCGTCCTCGGTCGACATTGCAGACAACTTGTATGCCTGCAGACTACACCGCAACTGAGTCAGCAACGGTTTAATTCGACGACATTTACTTCATTCACAAGGAATCACTTTTTTTACTGAAATTATTTAATCAAATCGCTTGCTCCTCGCAAAATTGGCGCAATCGATCCCACGCAGCAAGCATATTTTCTGCATGCAGCATACGACCTGGATAGATAGGTGGCGCAATATCGAAGACCAAAGGATGACCAGCAAGGGGAGAGGGCGAGCTAAGCTGCCTTTGGCAGATGTGGCCCTCGAGTGTGTTCCAGGCATTGCCGTGTATTTCTTATTACGATCTTATCTGCACAGTCTATCAAATATACCGGGTAAATCTATCAGTGTGGTTGGACGCGGTCTCGTCCAAAAAAAAAAAACGCAGCTAGAGATAGCTTGGTTTCCTAAAAGCCGAGCAGACTACCAACTTTGTTCGTTGTCGTAGGTAAAATGCCACCAAGCTCGCTCTTACTTGCATTGGCTTATAAGACCTCTATGTTAAGCTGCGTGTTAGAACCACATCTTCTGCACCGTAAGGTATAAAACAACTACAATGCATTTGTAGTACCGACTGTCTGAAAATGCATTGAGGCCAGCCATAGTTTTCGTCACGTACGGAGGAGAGGGTTTTTAATGGAGCGCACTTAAACGGAACAGCGGTTTCTGGCGGCGCAGCATTCTAGTCAGGTGTGGCTGCAAACCATGTTGAGGTATTTCTAACAAACATATTTTAACAGCGTGACCAGGCGAAGCGGTTCTCACTCAGCGCAAACAGCGCGTAAATGGCGGGGAGTAAGTTGCAAAGTGTCAAAAATTGGTACAATAGTTCATGAATGACTCGATTGTAATTGCCATGACAATCTACCAGCCATCCCAACCAACTCGACCAATTCAAGGTGCATGGCAAATGGATGAAGACATGAGTAGACGTCGATGAGGCATAAAGCTTTTTTGGCAGCGTTTGTCAACGCATGCCAGTTTCTTGACACCGCTGAAACGCTGGAGCGGTCCACTCTACGACAGTTAGCTGGCGTCCATTACGCTGCACGAGGTAAGAACACGTTACATCGGTTACTTATATGACACGATTTTCATTTGCCATGCGTATAAGATCCCCTCATGCCAGTTCTGTAGGCATTTTAGGTTACACTTCTACATCACATGCTTAAAAAGAATGATGTCGCTTCAGCTTTACTCAACACCCGCACCCGCACCAACAAATTCACTATACATCTTTTGAACCATCAATTTTTTTATAGCGTAAAATATGGCTAAACTTCAATGCTGTGAGTGGTCGTAACGCTCTGATATAATTGCGCGCGGTGTTTATACGATGGATATCGTGACACTTGGAAGCTGTGAAAGCCAAGAATAAGAAACGGGACAGGTTGAGATGGTGACGGCAACACGAAGGCTGCTGTGTGTTCAAGAGAAGCTGTGTGTTTCCAAAATGAGTTCGAACGACGGTAAATGTACCGAGGCGACATGCAGAGTTTAACCTGACCCGACTTCTGCAATTAACCGGAAGTAACCATAAGGTATAGAACAATTATGCTGCTAAGCAAATGGAAAACGTTGAAAAGAAAAAGGACAGTTGTGCTAACAGTAGTCATTAAAGCGAACTGAAATTACTAGGATTTATCTATGGACGACACAGCCCGGTTTCTAAACGATTTGATACAAGCTCTGAGAAGGAGAAAAACGTCCATCCTTCCGCGTTCAGATGTTAAAGACGTCTCCACTGCGAACAAGTCGGCTTTCACAATAATGGTCCATGTTACTTCAACTCACTCAATCGCAATTTCAATGGCCTCGGTTCCGAGGATCGAACCACAGCCGTCCCGCACGCACACGCAACCCGGTCCACATCCCGACAGGTAATGTATTTTCAAACCTGGCGCGCATCCAACGTTGCCTCGGGCGTCAGTGTTACCAAAGAAAAGTGGCAGCATTCACCACGGAGACTACCCAAATCCCCTGCGCGGTGAACAACTGCTCAAAACAGCGCAGCTTTTACAACATACTCCCCACTCGAAATTACTCTAATTTCGAAAACCCTACGACATTATACAAACGAAACAAAACAGTGGCAATACAACGGAATATTTATGCTTATCTAATTACATCGTGCAGAGTCAGGAATCTCGACAACAACGCATCACACACTAGAGGAACCACACGACCCTTCACATCCTCCGCGCTTCACTCCGGTGATGCCTCCAAGCGGTACAGCTTACTAAGTGGGCGTCGAGTGCGCCTGCCACGCAATAATATCACAGCTGCCCGAGGGTGTCCGTCGGGACCTCGCAGCAGTGAAACGACACGCGCCAACGGCCACCGACCTCGTGGCCCCTCGCCATGGACTAGCACCACCTCATTCGGGCAGGGCAGACGGCAGGGTCGCCCCCCCGGGGAGCTGCTCCAACTCCGTAGCGCCTGTAGATACTCAGACCTCCAGCGCTTGATCAGGTGGTCACACACCCTCTTCCGATGCCTCCAGGCTCTATAGACCGGGGTTTCACTTAGCGTCGGACAGACAACACCATCTATGGTGGTAACACCAAAGAGCAGATGTGCAGGTGTGAGCAAATTTTCACCATCTCCCTGGGTGAGAGGCCTGAGGTTGAGGTAAAAGCCGAGCTCATACAAAGTAGCAGACAGCTCATCATAGCTCAGATGAGACTGATGCAAGGTTACTCGCAAAGCTGTCTTGGTGACACCAACTAATCGTTCCCAAAATCCTCCCCACCATGAGGCAGCCTCGGGGATGAAACGCCAGAGCACAGACGGCGGAAGATGGCCCAGTAAGGCGTGAAATGTGCGAGCGTTGTCGCTGAAGATTATGGTAGGAGTGCCACGCAGAGCGAAGAACCGCCTCAGAGCAATGATCAGATCATTGACAGCCTGAGAATGGACCAGTTCAAGGTGGATGGCGCGTGATGTTGCACAGGTGATGAGCAAAACCCACACCTTCTTTGACGCACCGTCCACGTACAGCGGTCCGAAGTAGTCCACGCCTACTTTGGTAAATGGACGGCACGGCTCAGTCCTGAAACTTGGCAGGGCACCCTCTGGGGACCGATACGGTAGTCCTCTATACCGACGACATGGGCGACAGGTTTCGACGACCCGTCGGACAGTCCGTCTACGTACCAGGTACTCGGCTGAGAGAAGAGACAGCGTGACACGCGTGCTTTGATGGAAGCATCGTCTATGCGCGTCGTCCACAACCAGAGTGGTGATGTGTGCCAGGTCTGGTAGGATTGTCAGCGGACGCTCGCCTGTGCGCAGTGTTGTTATCAGGATGCCGTCGTTGTTAAGCTGGGGTCGGAGTCGGGCGAGTTGCGAACCCGCGGGCAGCAGCTCCCGAGAACGCACCGCATCGATCTCGCCTGGGTACGCTCGGTTCTGCGCATCTCTGATCCAGAACCGCAGACCTTCCCTTTTCTCCTCTTGCGTCAGTGGTCCTGACAATCGCTCAGACTTCGGTCTGCGGCTGTTGGCGATGAATCGGTGCACCCACGCTACTTTGTCTGCCGCCTGGGCAAGGGTAGAGCATGCCGTCACATCGAACAGGTGACACTCCCCACGATGTGTGGACTGCATTACAGTGCAGACAGGTCTCTTCAGTTCCAACTCTACCTCCGGAGTGGGACTGAGACGATCAGGGGTAAGTGACCGGGGTAAAGGAACACCAGATGTCGAGCCTCCCTCGCCGAAGGAATGCGGGGCCTCCCCACCACAGGTCACATTTCTCCAGCGTGCAGAGTGACATACCCCTAGTGCCCAGGTCAGCTCCTCTGACATGTTGCCATTGTTCAAGACAGAACAGTTGCAGAATGGAGGTCACCCTGTTCTGCACAAATACCTTCAGCGTCTTCTTGCTCTGTAGCCAGTACAGCACGTCCATGGAATCTGTCCAATAGATGATGTGTGGCTCCTTCAGGTGGAGAGTCTGCTTGACAAAATCCATGAGTCGACAGCCGAGCACAGCTGCCATCAGCTCGAGCCTAGGTATGGTAAGGGCGGGGTCGATAGGAGCCAGTCGGACCTTTGCCATCAGAAGATGTGATTTGCTTCCCTCTACAACGTATACGGCACAGCAACACGCTCTCCTCGATGCATCGCAGAACACGTGGAATGCTGGATCACCCGTGGAGCTCAGAGCAGCGCGAGGAAATCTCACGAATCGGTTCGCCGTGTCGCGACACCATATTCTCACTTCCTCCTGAAGTACCTGTGGAAGACTGGCGTCCCACTCGGCTGCCTTTGTCTCCTTCCAAGTTCTCTGAAATAAAACTCTGCCGACGACGAGCCATGGTGATAACACGCCTAAAGGGTCGAACGGCTTCGACACCGCCGCTAACAGCTGCCGTTTGGTGGCTGGGCAGTCCATGATGGGCACGCAGACTGCGAGGCTGTCTGTGCTGGTACTCCACAGCAATCCTAGCACTTGTGCATCGGGTGAACTGTCACCAGAGGTTCGCAGCTTGTGGAGGTTCATGCCTGCTTCTGAGAAGATGTCTGCCGTCTTCTTCACGTTCTGATCAGCCTCTGCTCTGGTGGCGAAGGTGGTACAGACATCATCCATGTACAGGCCAGCTTCCAACTTTTCACAAAGCTCTGGTTCTGAGGCGCGGTATTTCGCCAGGTGAGTGGAGATCGTCTGTAACAGCATGTATGGAGAGCACGACAACCCGAATGGCACACGTTTAAACCTGAAACATTGGTTAGCCCAGATGAACTGTATATACTTTCGATCCTCTTCGATGACAGACACCTGGTGGAAAGCGGACTTTATGTCTGCTTGGGTGGCTACACCGTCTCGACGAAAGTTCAGCACCACAGCAGGTAGGCGTCGCAGCAGATTAACACCAGGGTCTAGGTACTCATTCAGACTCTTGCCTGAAGCATCCTTGGCAGATCCATCATACACGACTCTCAACTTGCCGTTTCGCCATATCCCTCTGTAGGGTAGATAAAAGCCACCCGTACCTTCTTTTGAAGAGGTCTCGATGACGGAGCTCTGCAGCAAACTGTCGATGTGAGAGCCATATTCCGAATGTTGAGCTGGATCTAGTCTGCTTTCCATGCGCCTGGTGCGGATAGACGTAGCATGCTGGTTACTGACAGGGCGCTCATCGGAAGTCCACAACAGGCCCATCTCGTACCGGTGGTCCTCCTCGTTCCATGTCGGCTTAGAGCTTGAGGTCTCCTTCAACACCGGGTCAGTGAGCCCGACTGAGTCCAAGGTCCACATCTGTTCGACATTCCCCATCTGGCGACAGCATCGGTAGGCATAGCGGACAGGCTGTGGGTTGACGGTACCGCCCTCTTGTCCGTGAATGACGTAGCCAAACACGGTCTCTATGGCCCGGAGATTCGTCGCCAGCGAGATCTGGTTCCACAGCAAGACACTGTAGAGTTGGTCCGCTCCAATCAGCACATCCACAGGACCACCCGCGAAGTCGTCCGCCAGCAGCAGGCGCGGTTCAAAGAGCACTGAAGGTGGCCGAGCGGGGGTGGGTTGAGAGCACAGACGGTCAGTCTTCCAAAATTCGAACTCATGAGGGTCTCCGCCATGACGACTCTTGAGTAGCATTTGCACTTTCTGGTACTCACGTGGCTCCTCACCTCTTTCTTGAAATCCCATGCAGGCAAACGTCCCCGTCCCAACCACGGCTAGCCCGAGCAGTTTCGCCACCGATGATCTGACGTAAGACGCATCAGACCCACCATCCAGCAGGACCCTCAGCATACAGGATCCTCTTGGTCTAGTCGCCTCCACCAGAGCCGTTTGCACAAAACAAGGGTTATCACATGCGGTCACATTATTGCATTGTCTAAAGCCAGAGGCGAAGTTTGGTTGACTGCCAGGTGGGCTGACTAGCTGTTCTGGCCGAGCGGGGTCTGCGCATAAAGCAGGCGAAGCATGCTGCAGGGGCTCAGCACGTGCATCAGCGGAGGCAGCAAAAGCAGCATAGGGGGGCTCAACTCCAGCAGGTACAGCATAAGCAAGTGCTGCCTGGTGAGATGCAGCTGCAGAGCGACCACCAATGTCTGGTGGTGGTTGCTGCCATGACGCCGCAGGGCTGTGATGCAGGCTGGAATGATGGGGTCCTCCGCATGCGGGACAATTCATGCTGTTGCATGCCCGGACATGGTGGGGGCCAAGACATTTAAAGCACAACCCAGCTCTCTTCACATTCTCCCATCTCTCCCGCACAGCTTGCCTCTTATACACGTTGCACGCTAAGAGTCCATGTTTCCTGGCATGGCAGGCAGCGCAAGTCCAGTTTTCACGCAGTCTGGCACTACGTTCTAGCTGGATGCTCTGGCTAGCAGACAGGCATCCTTCTTGGTGCGACAGAAGGCCACTTACGGTTGTCGGACCAACTGGTCTGGTTTGGTAACATGCTGTCCCAGATGACTTCTGCCCAGCCCTGGATGCTTGCTCATGAACAGCCATCTCTTTTTGCAGGAAGCCGAGAAAGTCGTCCATGCTGCTTCCCGTCTCCAGTCTTAGCCACTGACATCTCCAGGTCTCTGGAATCTTATCTAGGATCATGGGAATTAGCAGCTGTTCGAACATGTCCGAGGTTACACTCACACATTCCAGTCCTCGGACTGCAGCAGTGAGACCATCAACTAACGCACGTAGTGACATAAGATCCCTATCATTTGACACTGGTGAGATATCCATCAGCCTCTTCATCAGGGCCTCTCTCCTCCGGTCCTCCTGGCAATATCTCTCAGTGAGTATCTTGATGGCAAGGTTGTAACCTGCCTTGCTCACTGGTATACCTTCAATTGCTTTCAGTGCGCCACCACAAAGCACGCCTCTCAAATAAACGAACTTTTCTACACTTGAGTAACTCTTGTTTGTGTGAACAGACACCTCATAAAGCCCCCAAAACTCTGGCCACTTCATGAAGTCCCCATCAAACTTGGGCAGCATAATGTCAAGCTTCACTTTCCCACCCTGAGATTCCTTTGACTGTTCCAGGCGAGCCAATACCCGCTTGCTCTTAAATATTGCGGCAAACAACTCATCGAGGTGACAAGAATCCTCTCTTCCCACATCCTCATCATGTGCACTCAGCTGCTGTTGCATATCCTTCAACTCAGCCTCATGTCGCTCTGCCTGGGCTACTGCAAGAGCAAAATCGTCAACATCACAATCATCTTCCAGGTGGATAAACTCTTTCAGCTTATTGATGAGCTTCGTAGCCTTACCTCTGGCTGAAGTTCTCAGTTTCTTCAAAGATTCGATGTGTTTTGTATCCTCTTCATGCATCTTCAGTCTTGAATTGGTAGGAAATCCACAACGAAGCACCAAAACTTATCGTTATGTTCGACTTCAACGCAATGAGAGCAATGATGGGCAGCTCTCGCATCCGGCCCGGAGGACTATGTTACTTCAACTCACCCAATCGCAATTTCAATGGCCTCGGTTCCGAGGACCGAACCACAGCCGTCCCGCACGCACACGCAACCCGGTCCACATCCCGACAGGTAATGTATTTTCAAACCTGGCGCGCATCCAACGTTGCCTCGGGCGTCAGTGTTACCAAAGAAAAGTGGCAGCATTCACCACGGAGACTACCCAAATCCCCTGCGCGGTGAACAACTGCTCAAAACAGCGCAGCTTTTACAACAGTCCAGAAGAAAGTAAATTTTCCAGAAGTAACAACGGAATGACTAAATCTTCTTCACGTAAGTTTGTGCTCGAGAATATTCCACAATCGGCGTGAGTACATGTATCTGAAAAAAATGTGTCGGAGCATTCCTGTTCGCTAGGGAACGTTTTCAGCACGTATATCTTGCACATTTTCATATAATATAAGCTGAAGTTATCTTCCAGAATGACGACATCACGGACGTTTGGATCGGCAACGTCGAGTTTACAGTTTCGTTTATGCGGATGATATTCAAAGCGCTGCAGTGTAATATACTGAATCAACAAGGTGCCATTTCTGAACAGGTGCTTGTGAATGATGATAGAAAGAACACTTCTGGAGCAAACTACGCTAACTACAATTGTTTATGAATAGCTAAAAACGAGATCTGTGACTTTCAGGAAAAAAGTTTTAGCCAAGCTCTTCCCCTGTTAAAATATGACCGGATTTTGGCCTCCCTTCTAAAATCGTAGTCTGTATTATTAAAGCCCTGAGTTGAATTCACTATACAATGGACGGAAAAGCACACAGACGACTCAGGCTTAGCAACGTGCTTTCCACTTCTCGGCTTAGATTCGCCGACTTTTTATCCCGGTTTTGCACTTCTGAGTCACCAGAATGATATTAGGTCTCTATGAACACGGGGGCTGTCTCCACTACGCAGTGCTGTGAATGGAAAAAGCAAGTTCATGACGAGAGAAAGTGTAAAACCAACTGAGAAGTGGAAATTTGGGAAGAAACATAGCCAATCTAATAGCTGGAATTGAAATAAAGTTTTAACATTTCACCTTGCATGTGGACAGCACTTGCAGGTTGATAGGTTGTTCATTGACTCAATTAGTTATTGGTCAACTATGCATTGCACATAGGTTTTCCTAGCGAGAGTTATCATGCATGTAAAATCATGGTATGAGCAGACCACTCAGCTCCTGCCTGACATGGGTATTGTTACTGGTCCTGCCATACGAAGGTAGCTGTCAGGCCAGGTCATGATGTTAAGAACCCCTTAAGTATCGGGCGCACTAGTCGCTATGCCAGGACCATAGGCATCTTCCTGAACTAGTACAAAACTGCGAGACAAACAATCTCAACTTTTCATCAGCCACTTCCTCGACACGGCGCAGCACCAAAAAGTAGCCCTAGTCTCGAGCGGTACGCGCGGGCCGGCGCCGCGCGCGCCCCAGTCAGTGCAGCGGACGCCGTTTGGCGCCAGGGGAGTGGCAAACTTATGGCTGGAAGTGACGCGGCCGATGGGAGCAGCGGTCATTGTGAGGCTACTTTAGTTCAAAGTTATTATTTCATTAACCCCCAGCTCGACATTTTACAGCAGTCGAATATATTTACTCAGGGAAGTTGAGTGGGAACTGTTGGCTTTGTTTTCTATTAGCATCAACAATTCCGAAGGAATTTGCCGGTTTAGCTAACCAGCCATTTACTCATTGCTACATAACAGACGTGTATTTTACTCACATGTTTCACATAATAACATAACTCTTTATGAGATGAGTAGTTAAACAAACGTTTCAACACTATCTTTGCAAAAAGCGCACTAGCACTGGTTGCAATCCTCAAAATCAGGGACAGTGCCATGAAGCCGATAAAACGGGCTCAACCGTCCCTGGAACATTTGGTCACGATGCAAATCAATAAAACGTTTCATCTCGCTCATTATCAATAACAAGGTGCAAACACAAGGGACACGAGAAATACGTGCTGACACCGTGGTTGTTTCACGACATAGTATTCCTCTCGCTCTCGACATTTTTGGGGCCCCGACATTCCTCGGGCAACAAGCTGCATCAGCACCCATAAACAATACCATGCGCTTGATCTGCTGCCTCTGTCCCGTACAGCCTTTCGCTGAGCATCTTGAATTATCCAGATATTTTTTTCACTTGGCAGCATGTGACATCCAGAGGAGGTGATGCTCCCTATGTTTGCAGTCTATTATCATTTATGGAGAAGATTTGGTTATTTTTTTCTAGGTTTCTAGGTATTTGACCAGGTTGCAGTCCTAGGGCAGCGCATTATTCCAGAGTGTATTTTCGGAGAGCCTGGACAGCACTAATTGCACAGACAGTTTGTCAAACTCTGCTGATGCGTATGCTTTCTACAGTCTCATTGTGGAGTACACATGGTTCGAGAGCATGCTGCCAGACTTTGTCATTAGCCCCGCTCACAGCGCACAACTTGTTTAAGCTACCGAGGTGACCTTTGGTGGGTGGCTTATTTGGTCTACTTTTTAACTCTTACTGAATTTTTCATATCATCGAATTAAAAGGTTACATCAAAAGAGCTTTCCGGTAAAGCGGAACAACCTATAGCTCTTTGCCAAAAACTATCACTAATTTACCTTCCATTAGTCCAAGCCCTAATTCATCGTATGAAGCTTTATGTTATGTAACAATTACAATAGAAATGCAACAAAATATTACGTTGTTCACATCAAATAATATGGTATCTGCGCTCACTGTTGGTCTTTTTACCTCTCGGGCTATTAAGCATAAATATGTCATATCTAAACCAGCTGTTGTCTAGTTTGGAGTGCGTGTGTGCACTTCTTCCCAACAAGTTCTGGGGTGGGGAAATGGGGTCGGTGTTTCAGAGTATGGGGCATTTACTAACATGACAGTAAAACAGCTTTAAAATTTAAATACTTGATGTGATGTCATAAGAAAAGGGAAGTGGGAAACCACCCAACGTCGTGGATATGACATTACCCTTGTGGAAGCTATCAAGTAATAGATCAAGTAAAACTGCAGTACCTGCTTCAAATACCCACCATGCTACATTCGGGGATTTTCGACTAAAAGACATCTCAAAATATTTACAAAGTGCAAAGGGGCAGCAAATGAGATCAGACTTGTACAAAAACACTGATATATTTAGCTGTACAGCAAAGGTTTAAGCACGCAGCATTCGCTTAAACGAAATCCTGTAAATCAGCAACTTGGAAAATGCGTGGTCATCTGAGCAAGCAACATCATTTCACGCTTTTTTGTCCAGTTGCTTAGGAGTTCCGAAATATTGAGACTGGAAATCGCTTACT